TGTAAACAACTTTGTTGGACATCGAAATGATTATGTAAGATGCTCAAGCTAATTACTAGAATGTCAAAACTTTCTGTAACTGTATTTATTATAGATACTTGAACGGCTTACATGATTAATTTAATGGCAATAAAATTATTTTCCGCAAATTTGTATCTAGCTAAAGTTAGGTAAGCAATGCCGTTCTTTGCGATATACAGATATAATGATTATCGTAAAAGAAGTGCATGGATCTTTTTCATTGGTAAGAGTTGCAAATATTTTTTTTCTGTTGAAAATGTTACATCGATGACATTTACTTTACTCCTAGCACTCATCATCAAGTAGACAAATAAAAATGCGTATTTAATGTCATCATGAAAGATATAGTAAAACAAATATCGTGCTATCTGTTTCACGGTATATTTACTTGCATAATAACATCTATAATATCATTTAAAAAATATTAACTAGTTTATAATCCGACAATATAGTTTGTTAGTATTATCATATTTAAAGAATTATTGTTAATTGATCCTTGATGCACTTTTAAGCTAAAATAATCATTTATTAGAAAATTTAAACTTGAAAATATGGTAAAATAAATATTATACATTGATCCAATAAATTATTCTGTTCAATGATTTAATTAAGCATAATACTTTTTCAAATTATTTCAAAAAGCTTTATCCTTCAAGTTTTCGAAAAATTTCAACATTTGCGTTGACATACAAATAGTTTAAGTTGGCCTCTATTATATTAAACATTTTATTGCTACTTTCTCTTGATATTACAGTGACCAAATTAAACATCATTTTGGACTTCGGACAAAGTAAACAGTAAAAATTCTTATTACTAGCTCAGTTGCTTTGATTAATATTCATATTATTTGGGAAAGATTGCTCGCATACGCCCTGAAATATATTAGGTATAGTAAAAAGAAATCCATTATTTTTCCATTCAATTTCATGCAAAAATAATGGATTTCTTTTTACTACACCTAATATAAACACAAATGCACGGATTTTTCTATTATCCATTCTATTTTCGCTTTTTCTTCCAAAGATTAAATGTTTATCCTATAAAATATTACCTTTTACTTCATTTATATATGGTATATAATTATTAGACTCACGTTCCAAGATGTTATTTTCATTTCTGTGGGTATCGTTGACTTTACGGAATTTTGTCCGTTAGTTGCAATATCATCTGAAAGCATAATATTGTCTTTGGTAATTAACGTTAATGATACGTTAAATTATGAAAATATGTTGTCCAAGCTTTTAACTTGACAGCAGTGCTATTTTTTGAATATTAACAACTTTATGTATTAGTTTTAATATTAATTTTAAAATCATAATATTAAAATAATAATGATAATAATAATGATAATAATAATAACAATAATAATAATAATAATAATAATAAATTTCATTCGATCGTAAAAAAATAAACTATTAATATTTTATAATATCAAGAAAAAAGTAATTAATTAATTAATATATGAGGTAATCAGGCTCAATTTGGGCCGTTTCCCAAAATGAGTCACTTGTTGTTTATATATAATATATATAATTATAATATATATAATAATTATATATAGTTATATGCTTAATTATACCGCTGACAGTAATTCGAGGCAATCTTTGTGTAAAAACAGGAAAAATTGATACATCATGGTTGTAATATTCCGTAAGTAAGTAATTGCTTACTATATTTATGAAAACATGGTTATTAATTTCCATAATTCATGTTATTGTAGCTCTATATTCATACTTTACAATACTATATTTAATTTATATTTTTTGTCCCAACGTTTTGTTTATTATTAAAGAAAAGGAAATCTTTGTGGGGATAATGGCCAATGTAATGGTGATACCAATGTAAGTCATGTCCGAGTACATGCATAAATGTGACATTTATTACAAATATGTTCATAAAAATTGTGTGGGATTAACTAAAAATGATAAAGGCGCTTTTACTTGTCCAAACTGCGAATGGATTCATAAACATAATTTTAAGAAGGAGAAGTTAACACAGATATTCAATGTTTAAATTGCTAAATAACTTTTTTAAATGTTTATACATTAATATGTTTATGTAATAAAATTATGAACTTATAAAAGTAATGTTGGATCAATTTATCTTCCATATTTTTAATACTTTCGTATGAAAAAGGTGCCTCAAATGCTATCTTTCTTTTAAATCTTTACTGCATCTATATAAATACACGAATATAATTTATATTTTTTTCAATATTCAGAAATGTTCTCTCTTTCGAATGTAATAATTAATTTTCAATTTTGAGACCTTAGCAAAAAATTAAAAAAATTCTAAGCTTAGTAGGTCCACATTGAGCCCGATTACATAATTATTATATAATTTTTAATTATTATTATTATTGATTGTTATACACATAATTAATTAATTAATTAATTAATTAACTATTTCAAATGAATAATCTTCGTGAATGTTTTCTGTTTGCTATCGATTTAACTCTCAGCCGAAATTTTTACCCTTCCATAACTTGGGTCTTCGAACTTCAGAGCAGATTTTTGTATTATTGCAAACAGTATAAAAATGTAAAAAAATTCTTATATATGTATATGTGAAAGTTTTAACAAGTTTTTACTATCATAAAAATTGAATTGCAGTATTTTACTTCTTTTTTATAAATTTAAATTTATCAGAATTCACAATTTAAAAAAATCGACTGTGTTATTAAAGTCCAACATTGTCAGTGGAGGTTAATTTTTGTACTTATTATTTAATCTTATCTTTTTCATGCAGATTTTTAGTTCTTTAAGAGAATTATACAATAAATAAATTTTAACAAAAGTCAATTGAGTAATTAGCTGACTAGCTTACTTTGTCCGTACGTGATACAGTAACACGTCGTAAATATGAACGTGCTGAATAAAAGTCGGAAGTTGAGCATTCTTCACCAGTGTCTCCGACTACATCTTATCTGCTCGCATCTTCTTTGTGTCTCGTGGTTCTCCTCCGACCGGAAATATTTCGTGCGATGCGGCATAACCAGCAGTTCGGTGAATCGATACTAACACTCCAGTCATCCTGACCCGGACGACAACAACGTAGTGACGAGCTGTTTTATGTCAGCCTGTCACGCGACCGTCGAAAGTATCCAAAGAGGGGAAAAGGGTTGACGCGTGGAAACCCCGACAAGGTTCTGTACGGCGCGAGCGCCGTCAACCCTCGTGCGTGTCCCACGCATTATTGTTTTTTTTTCAAAGATTCTATTGGTCCTTGTAGTAATTAAATATGACAACTGATCATCAGGCGCGCACCCAATTTTAAATTTGTTTACTTGTTTTTAACAATGTGTATATCAGATAATATCTGTATTTTACATCTCATACGTTATACAAGAATGACAAGCAGAAAGATTTAATAAATTATATAGTATTTTGTAAGATTATTACATTCGTTACGAAATCGTGCATTCAGGTTTTTCAAGATGATCAAATCTTTTAAAAATTTAAAGAAACTGAAATACATATAAGTATGAAATACTAACTTAAGAATAATCACTGGAATATTTTTATACTCCAGATGAGAAAAATTGTAAAATATTGTTTTGTTTGGATATTGTTTTTTAATTTCTTTTTTTTATGTCTATTCTCTAGACTATCTTTTAAAAAATCTTAAATATGTAATTCCATTGAAAATCTTCAATGAATAAGTCATATTAATTAAAATTTTTATTTTTTATCATAATAAGCTACTTAACGTGCTTATTTCATTTAGTGATATTTGTTTAGTTTGTATTTTCAGAAAATTGTGATTAAATTTTTATCTATAACATTCTCAAATATTAATAATCGAAAAATAATAGTTTATACAATATGTTATTAATAATATTAATTTTTTTGGACTGTAAAATAGCCCAGGTGATTGTTTATGTAAAAAAGTTTATGTTTAAAGAGAAAGACAATCAATAATTATTGCTAACATTGCTGCATAAGATACCGTTTGCATGATCGATGGCGTTTCGATAAGCGTTTTCTTCAAATAAAGAATGATTAATAAAAATTTGATCGCTTTAAAAATCGTCTATCTTTTTCATGTTTGTCCGCTGCTTGGATCAGGTAATTTCTATTGTTAGAAGGTTAAAGAGTAAGATAGTATTGTGAAAGAAATCAAGCGGTTACTCTCGATTTAAACGTAATATGTAAATTTAATATTATTACATATTATGATTATTTCATATAGACACAATTGATAAACAGAGAAATTTGATTAAATTAATACATTTTGTGAAATTATTTCATTATAAAATCGTCTATCTGGATTTTTTCAAGACGGTCAAGTCTAAAAAAAATTTATAAATCAAAATGCGCAAAAGTATGATAAGAATTGAATAAAAATATTTTTTAAATGTGATAAAGACTGTCCTTCAAGTACTTTCTCAGAGACAAAATTCACAAGATGCTATCTATTCCATAAAATTGATTAATATATTGTAATAAATTATATTCTTTCAAACTTTCTGCATGTGTGAAAACAGATAGATAGATGACAATGAGATGACAAAGAAAATGAGAGAAATTTCTTTAACACCTGATGGCGATACTGAGTGATTGATTGGCAATATTAAATATGACTAGAGAAATAGACACGTGTACCATTTTGTCACGCAAGTTACAATATTTCAGACAATTCATCTATCACAATACTATCTTACTCTTTAACCTTCTAACAATAGAAATTATCTGATCCAAGCAGCGGACAAACATGAAAAAGATAGACGATTTTTAAAGCGATCAAATTTTTATTAATCGTTCTTTATTTGAAGAAAACGCTTATCGAAACGCCATCGATCATGCAAACAGTATCTCATGCAGCAATGTTAGCAATAATTATTGATTGTCTTTCTCTTTAAACAGTTTCTAGGGCTTACAACAATATATAGTATTCTTTATATTTTAGAGATAAACTGAAAGATTAATGTTTGCGGACGTTCGCGGATGTAAAGTCCTCGTGAATGTTATATCAGTCGGCACGAAGGTTGCGTTAGACGGGCGCGATCAATATACGCACCATTAGTAACATTAAGCAAGTAATCGTGTGAATCATCTGTCAGAGGAAATTAATAGTGATATTATTAATAGGACGTGCACATTCCGTGCGTATAAAAGTGTAACGCCAAGTAGAATTGAGATCATTGAGATTAATCGTCCTCGTACTGCCGAATGCTACGGAAATTGGAACGAAGTGTGGGTGGTCATGGTGGAGAATAGAGAACAGATTCTTCTTGGGAACGATTTTCATTGTTTATCGTTTAAGTTGAAGTACATCTCAATATACAAATCACATCGCCTGTGCCCTACGAAGTAGTAGTATATATCGCCGCTCCTCTCGCCGGAGCGTCTAAGTTGTCTCTCGTTCGCAGCCGCAGCAAAAGAGGCTATCGCGTTTTTCTCTCTTCGCACCGAAGGACCGAGCGACGTGTGCCGGGATCGAGACACGATGAAGTCGAATAAACATTTTATCGACAAACAATACGAGGAATATTGGAAACGGATATTCGTTTATACTTCGCATATCTCATTTCGCATCAATCACGCTATCCGAATATTCCCTCTTCATTCAGCCTCGGTAGATTCAAAGCTATCTACCATCTGTTTGATTCCTTGTACGTACATATCTGTCTTCTGATATATTGGTTGATCGATATAGTTGATTATTAATGTGCGCTGTCGCAGATTTTATCCGCTAACGTTATACAATCTGCTTTCGCTGTCTTCATCGTTTCTCGACTCCGCTGTATTACAGTCATCGCGCGAGGGAGATTGCCGAAACTAAACGAAAAGGCGGAAGGAATGGGAAAATAAGTGCGAAAGTAGAACACGGGAAGCGCGATCGAAATGCGCTCAAGCAAGCTCGGCAGCAACGTTAACGATGTATAAAATCACATCTCGTTATGACGATGATACGGGGTGATGAGAAATGATAAAAATGATCATGAATGCGTTAATGTGTAAATGGAACGTAATAATCTCGATGATGATCAATAATAAATGATTACGATAATTGGCATCTAATCAATAACTTACGACCTTGGCGATTACAATCACCTTGTCGCGTTATTCAATGAGAGATCTGGCGACGAATAGGCGAGGAGCGCGCGCGAAAGTGGACATTATGATTGGGACACAGAAAATTCGGCAAATTGTAAATTCAAAAAGATTTATATATATATATATATATAT